GGTGTCGTCCAGCAGCAGGAGGTGAGGTGTGTGGAGATGGATGGCATGGAGGAGATGGGCCAAGCGGCGTGGTGGGGTCACTCCTGGGCTGATTGGTAGTTGAGAGGTGGCTGCTGCAATAACAGAAAGGCGTTGGTAATGGTAGACATAAGACGGTGACTGTGCATTGACCTGCCTGGAAGGGAAGAGTAGAGTACGGTTTGGAGGAAACAGTCCAAGGACAGAAATAACACAGGTGCTGGTCTGAGGAGTAGGGAATACGATAATCCAAAGCAGAAACGAGATCTAACGGTAATGTACAAAAAGTATCAAAAAACAAAGTCAAATTCAAAGCACTTTCACACTATTTGGCCATCCACACCCCCCGGCATCAGCTCTAGGAGCAACTGCGGGTTCAATGTCTTGCTCAAGGACACTTTGACAAGCTGGGAATCGAACCTCTGTAAGGAAAAGACCCACTCTACTTTCTGAGCCACAGCCGCCCATCCCAGCAGACACTGGACAACAGGTGGGGTACACCTGGGCAGGTCACCAGTCTATCACACATAGAGACATCTACTCACATTTACACCTACAAGTAATGTCACCAGTCAATCTAACCTGTGTCTGTGGGAGGAAGCCGGAGGAAACCCACCCAGGCACTGGGAGAACATGCAAGCCCACACAGGAAGATCGCGATTTGAAACTAGCATCATCAAGTTAATAAGTCATTGTGGTGCCTAACATCCACAAGGTTAAGGGTGGAGGTTTGGTGTGTTAGCAGCTGAGGCAGGAGGTGAAGCTACAGTCTGGTGACCAGACATGCAGATAGAGCAAGATGGAAACGTGTGGCTGTAGACTTTGATCACAAGATGTTCAGCCCCAGTAGTGGAGAAAATTTTTCTCAGGCTGTAAAAGTCTGCAACATGGGTTCCTTTTGCTGTAATCACTTCATTTCAGGTAAAGAATTAAGTGACAATGCAGTTTAAGGAAACCAACTAAGTAATTTAGGACAATGAGTTTTTAACTTGAGGAAAGGCATCATTAGTTTTTAATAGGATAGATTTGAATTAAGCTCAAAGTATCGAACATTTCAGATTTGTCCCTCATAAATACCAGGCTTCCTGGCAGAAAGTCATCTGTAGGTTTTAACTACTAACATACATTCATGTACCATTTTTTATCTTTTTAGAAGGTGTTTTGGGATCAAACTGGTGCTTTGGTACAGCTGTGTGTAAACTGTCCTCTGAACACAGCCTGTGGCCGTGTCTGACTCTCAGTGTGTCTGTGTAACTGTACTCTTCTGGTATCAGTGACCTGTATATTCAGTCTGTTGTGTAACATGATCTTATGGGCTGACTCTGCTGTCCGCTCCCACAGTGCAACAGATTGACGGAGGAGCGAGATGAGGTGGAGAGGCAGCTCAAACACATCAAGAGAGGTGAGTCCTGCTTCCTTCACCATCACAGACACCAAGCAGCATTCAAACTCACACAACTACAGCCCAGAAAAAAAAGCACATGATTTTACCACACCTGTTACCTAAAAACAAATAATGATGGAAGTGCCACCTTTAAAAAGAAACTTGATGAGCCAAGAAACTTAGTGGAAGAGAAAACAAGGGTGTGCAGTCAAATCATTACCTAAAGGGTCCATTAATAGCTCTTCAGCATGCCTACCGTCATTTTTGCACAGTTCTCCTATACGTATACTGAGGGATTATTAAGTTTGGGTTTTGAGCATCTCAGATATGCCACAATATGTTTTATGCCAAATAAAGTGGTTTAGAACATGTGGATGCATTGCTGCTCTGTTTCCATCCCGTCTCTCTTCACCCATCTCACTTCTGTTGAATCACGTCACTTTCTTAGGTCTCAGCTAACTCACTATAACGTTAAAAGTTCAAATCTATCTTGAATTTAACCCTTCATCTTTCCCGGTTTCATCTTTCTTGAAGCCAGCAGCTGACACGTTCACTTCCTCCCCCTCCCCCTTCACGTCTTTCCCCCCCCACCTTTGTCATGACATCACAACGCTTTGTCCTCTGAATGGGTGTGTTTAAAAGAGGAGGGGTGGCGGTTGCCATGACGATTGTAGAAGAGCGTTCGTGTTTTAGAACGTGTAACCCCTGTACTCAGTAGCAGTTGGAAACGAGGCTGGTGGCGCTGCAGGATCTGGCTTCTGTCATGACTATTCACAGAGGTAAGACTGTGCTGTATACAAGCAGCAGGTTTACAGCTTTTATCCATTATATGATCACAATCAGTTTGTATGTGTCTGTAGTGTAAAAGTCCTCTGGCTGATCTGTGGCAGGTTTGGTTTAGAGGACGTAAAAGAGACTTTCATAGCAGCGGGTTAAGGACACATGGATCACTTCTTCTAAATGTCAGTTAACCACTAGCTGAGTCTGTTTCTGGCCAGCAGATGACTGCTACACACATCTGTTTTTCTGAACAAGATAACTTTGGAAATTCAGTGACACCCTCCAAATGTTTACTTATTGGTTTTATTGACTGGTTTACTTAACAGAGACAATGGGCATTAATCAGCATTGTTTTAAATGAACCATAGTGTGTCAAAAGATAATTTGTCTTTAGTTCTTGTACAGTTGTTACTTGAGGATATAAGCCTAAGCTGTGTGCTGACCTGCTCAGCCTGCATGGGCTGCAGTGATGTACAGGCATTTTACAGACAGCTGAAAGAGGGATAAAAGAGGAAGAACTATGAGAGATGGCAGGTCCTTTAGCTGGTCTCAAACCTCAAATTCAGTGTCAGAACAATGTCAACAAATGCCACAAAACTGGACTTAAAATCATCAGAGTCAGCAGAAACTTCTGACATTCATTCACACATTCATTCATTCATTCATTCATTCATTCACCGCCTGTCCCCAGAGAAGACAGCAGTTGCTTTTGTCATGTTATTCCTATGAATTATTTAAACCTCCTGCCATGAATAATTTAGCAGCAGAAAATGAGGCAAAGATGAGTGTGTGTTTGTGACGGGTTGTAGTCGACTAACGCACCATTGCGACCTGTATGTTAAAGCACAGTGGTCGTCGTCTCTGATCATGCGAAGACATGTTCATTGGATGGTGCTAGTGTACGAGGCTTTGGTAGGCCTAGCCCCGGCATACTTATGCTCTCTTTTACGTAGATCGGATACCAAATATGCCTTACGGTCTTGTGATAAGTATCAGCTCATGGTGCCGAGAGTTCGGACCGAAAAAGGGAAACGGGCTTTTGGATTTGCCGCTCCCTCTTTGTGGAATAGTTTCCAAGCAGATTTGAAACTTACTGAATTATGCTCAGTTAAAGCTTTTTATTCTCTTATGGATCTTAGGCAACAGGACTCTATTGGTCAGTGTAGGTGTTTTTAAATTGGTTGAATTGTTGATTATTGTATTTATGGTTTTGATTGTTTAAATGTTTAATGTTTTTGATTTGTATCGAAACTTATGTATTGACGACATGTGTTGTTGACCTCTTGGCCAGGTCACCCTTGTAAAAGAGATCGTGATCTCAATGGGTTTTTTACCTGGTTAAATAAAGAGAAGTGTGTGTGTCGGGGTGGTGACCCCTCCTGGCTGACTCTTCCTCCTTCAGAAGGCCTTTCCACCTGCTCCTCCATATTTGATGGCCACATTTTAATGGTTTAATGAGAGAGAACTGGCTCGCTGGCAGGTACCTGGTGTCTCCTTTGAATCTCAAAGGCCAGACTGAGTGAGTTAAGCACAGATTAACTGAAACAGACCTGAGAGTCGCCAAGAGAGTGGATTTCTTCTGTAACGTATTCTGGTTGCTTTTTAACAACACAAAAATAACTCCTGGATGGTTTCTTATGAAATTTGAGGCAGACATTCATGGTCCCTTGAGGATGAATCCTGATGACTTTGGTGATGCCCTGGCTTTTTGTATAGAGCAGAGGCTCACCTTCCTCCTGTCCAGTGTTTTTTGGTGGTGAAAACTGAAAGGGTTGTGCCTTAATCTAAGAGAATCATTGTCGGAAGAATTCAGAATAGGATCAACATTTCTAAGTGCAAGCTTTATTGTTGAGCTCGATTCCAGAGCAGATACAGACCATAAAGGATCACTCCTCACTCAGTCATCCTGTACTATGGAATCTGATTGGCCCACTCAATAACATTACATAATCTTTTCTCAGGTTCCTATGGTTCAAGGCTTGTTTTTTCTCTGCCAACATAAAAAGCACACTCCACATCTCAGCCCAATTAAGCCTCTCATATGAAGACACATCTGTGCTGTGTTCCAGTGTTAATGTTCCCCATATTTTCTGAAAAGCTGAAATGTTATCACATGTGGTCTTAATGTCACCGTACAGCTACTGTACCTTGACTACCTTGTCTTTTTCAATGGTGGCTGCAGTGTTGAGTCAAATCTTGACAATACTGGTGTGTTTAGTTAGACTGCCACCATTAGATGAGCAGACACTGTGGCAGCCATTAGAGGTAGGTAATAAGCAGGAAAGTTAAAATACAAAAGCAAACATAAGGGAGATGCAAGCACTTTTTAGAGGCTGTGATTCAGAGATGATCCCGTCTTAGAATGCAAAGTTCTGTCAAAGGTTTCTTTGCCAGTTTTGCATGTAAAAAGTTCAAGAATTATTAGTACATGTTGAATATTGTAGTTCCTGTTTGTTAAAGCAGGAAACTTCCTCTCGCCCTCAGCCACGGCTGCCTAGTCCTGATCTTTTCAGCTGGTAGGAAGCAGGCGGATCTGATGTCTCACAGTCTGTAATTTATGCTTTGTATTAAGCCAGAGCAGCAGAACAGATCGTTTGCAAAGCAATGAGTGTCAAACAGGCCTCACAGGATGGGATTCTAATAGCAGCCCGAAGTTCTAGATCCAGGAGAGAAACAAGTTATGGCTAGTTATTTTCATCCATCCATCTAGTTGCAGACTAGGCAGGTACATCAGGGATAGAATTTTTTGAAGCCAAAACCTGACCGCAGCTTGTTGTTACCCAGAATGAGCATGGAGCTGGAAGCTAAACGTGACACCACTCAGCTTTATGCTCTTACTTTATGCACCCTAGTTATTCACTCAAGTGCTTTGGAAATGCTGTAATTATGTGCAGAGAACAAATGAAAGACCCACAAACCAGGAAAGTCTCAGTTTCCCTGACAGTTAATGCAGAGAAGATGCAGCTTTTGGGGTTTCAAATGGGTAGAAAGTAGAAAGTCAGTCAGTGACTGTACTCATCTAATTATTCATTGCTTTGGGTCCTATGTTAATATTTTCTATTACTGTTAAAAACAATTTTGGTGCTAGAACTAATGATTATTTTAATTATCAATTAATCTGCTGATTTTCTATTAAATGTAAAAAAAAAAAAAAAAAAAGAAAAACAAGAGACATTTGTTTGTTCCAGCTTCTCAGATGTGAGGGTTTCTTACTTTTTACTGTTTTATATTACTGTAAATTAAAAGGTGTTTTTTCTACTGTTGGTTGGAAAAAATCAAGATGGTTCAAGATGTCAGAACTATTAGTCAGTGGGTACTGATTGATTTTATACTGATCAACAAATTGATCAACTAATGCTTTCCACATAACATGTTTTACTGGAAAAAAAGGTTTAATATTGTTGATGTGTCGCTGTGGCACAAAGGACAAAGAATTGTGTGATGTAGAGTCGACTGCTTTCCCTCACTGACAGAGATGTGTGTGTGTCTGTGTGTGTGTTAATGCAATAAAGCTCAACATCACCACAAACTGAAGCTTCCCCAATGAAATAAACACTGGCACCTGATTGCACTAAAGCAGAGTTCTGTTATTGCTCTTCAGCTCATTTTGTCATTTTTTTCCAACTAAAAGCCTTCAAATGCACAACTGACCATAAGCAGATCTTACATTTGAAGAAGCGTTTGAAGGCAGCATGAGTCCATTTATTGTTCATAGCTTAAATACCAAACATTTTGCCCAGTGGTTATAAATCAAACTCAAAAAATATAAAACATCTTCCTGTAACACAAGGTGAAAAGAAAGACACCAATCGTAGCATTCTACATCATATTAAGGAATATTTTAGGTAATACAGATTAATGCATGTTATGCATATGTTAAGTTCTAAAATGAATTGATCACCGATGGCAGAATAAAGACAACATGTTTGATACTTCGCGCTGCACATTATTATCTAACAGACAATTGTCCAGTGTTTCCCCTGTGATGGCTCCAGCTGTTGTATTCCAGAGTAAAAACAAATCCAGAAATAGCAGAGAATGACCAGCGTCTCTGCTTCCTGTGTGACCCACAGTGCAGCAGCTGAATTGCGGTGCAGTCGAGCAGAGGCCAATCCGCATTGGCACGTGGGAGCATTGAGGGTTTAAATGGCTGGGAGGGATTCACACCACCAATACCCATCCATAACCAATAAACACTGAATGAGGAATTAAAAATAGCACCGGAAGTCTTCCTCGTCCTCACTCATATCATGCTCAGTTTTCTCGCCACTGTCTCTTCAGCCACACCCAGAGGCTTTCTCGTCAAGGCTCTCAAAGGTCACTGGGTGTAATTGCAGCTTTTCTCCAGCACTAAGCATTCTCATTTAATGAAGGTTCATGTAGGCCATCTGATCAAGTTCACCTTCAGTCGTGTTGTATCCAGAAGCCTTCAGTATCTCTGAATGCTCAACAAAGCTGTGCAGGTCCACCTGCCACAGTGGAAGAGTGTCACAATGTGTGGCTAAAAACTACTAGCTAGATCCTGTAGTTTGCTTGTAGTAATGAATTTTCTACATGTATTTGCCTTTGGACAGGCTCCACTTTTGTACAGATCCCAGGTCGTGTTCAGAGAGATGTCACTCTGTGTGAATAAATGCAGCCCTTTTCGGTGGCGGTTGTTTGTTGAACATGAATGGATTTGAACCAGATGTATCATTAAAGTTTCAGATGAAGTCAGCTCTCTGTGATGGACAAGTCAGATCAATATATGAGCAGCTTACTGCTGTAGCGTTTTAGGTGCACTGAAGGGTTTTGGAGAGAGCCCACACACATAACTACACACAAATCCCCGTTAAAACCAGCTGGTCTTGTGGTCTTGCTGGTGTGTGTATTTGTGATCATGTGTCGGTCTAATTGTGTTGCGCCATCAGACACAAGAGTGTTAGTCATGTATATCGTCCTTTAAAATCAAGAGTGTCCAGTGCACGTCTCTGGTTAACACACATAGTAAATGCATCACATCTAAGCCCACTTTCAATGACCTTCATGACTGTTTGTGTGTGTGCGCATGTATGCCCTCTCTTCAGTGTCTCAGATGGTGATTGAGGAGGTGAGTGTTCTACAGACTCAGCTGGAGATCGAGAAGTCATGCCGGGAGAACGCAGAGGCCCTGGCGACAAAGGTCGGACACACTCTCTCTCTCTCTCTCTAATCAGCGATATAAGATTAGCATTATCTGAGTCCAGCTGGCATTCGCAGGAGAATGGAGTGAGTCAGGATGACTCTGATGATTCTGCACCGTGATTATTTGAGCATTAGTAGACGTAGATACAGCAGGTATACAAGTTATTTTTGCTGTAATATATAGTTAAAATCAGGGGTTAAAATGGGATTGGGGATTCCACTGATGTCAGGGGGGTTGGGTACTGATGGGCTGGTTTCCACAGGGGACTGTTTCTTCAGTAGAAAGTAGCTCCAAAGGAAACAGCAGACACTGTTTTGTGGATGCGGGTTGTCCCGAGTAACAGTGACGCACTGTCTGGAAAGAGATGTTTCCGTATTAAATGTCATTTCTAATGCTGTACAATAAACTATTCCAACAATCAGATACGACTGAGAAGAAGAGAACATGTATGTTTTTATTTTATTGATCTCTTTATATTTTGGTCATTTGAGTGAAACGACCCTTTAATTTTCTGAAAACCCAAAACACAGTGATTCAGCCCCTCAGTATGTAGAGCCAAACCCAAGCAACACTGAATATGAAATGTATAAGACATGAAATCTGTAAATTCTTCCTTCTTAAAGGACAAAATTGTTTTTGCCTCTGAGTAGTTTTAATGTTACTGCTTTTGACCCAAGTGAACTTTGACCTCCAGCTGAACTGTGAGAACAGGAAGCTGAAGTACCTGAGCATGTCGTCTCGGCCGTGTCTGGACGAGCTCCTTCCCAGCATCTCTGACTGCATTGTGCTGGAGGAAGACACAGATGCTGCTGACTCCAGTCCCGACACCTTCACACAGTACCAACAACAGGTGAAAGGTAAGGCGGAAAATTATTTAAAAACAGCAGGATAAGTAACTACCATTTTTTACTTATTGAGTTTTCTATCAAATTGGAAAGTAGTACACCATGTACTAAAATTGACAGTGCAGAATTTTACCACTTAGTATTCATGAAGGGAACATACAGTTTCACACCAAGACATTCCAGTCTTATATTTATATCTTTTTGGATATTTGGATTGTGGGGCATCGCTGTTCATCAGCATCACTCTCAAAAATCAAGTTAGTCTGCATCTTATACCTTATTTGATCATTTTTAGAATGAATGGACCTCACTTCCAGATGTTCCTGCCTATTTAGATTTGTGTTATTGCTCATCTACTTTATATTTCACTTGTATTTTGTGGCATTCATGTGGACGGCACATTAAGAATTTCATTGTACAGGGAAACACGTTTCCTAACTGTGCATATGACAAAGAAACACTTTGACCTTTGTGTTTTGTCAGCGCTGAGGGAGACGGTGAATGGCTTGTTGGAGGAGAAGAAGAATTTTGTCTGTCAGGTTCATGAGCAGCAGAGACAAATAGACGAGCTCACTGTGCAGGTGAGGAGGGAGCGCCTCTTCAGAAGTCTACTGCTAACAGGCCCAATGTTACAATATTCAGTTGTTCACAAAAAGGACAGACTCTGTCATGAGTAATGTAGTTTCACAAGTAAATAAAACTTTGTAACTGTTCAAAATGCCTGGTTATGGATTTTGTCGAATGTTGTTTCACCATTTGCAGTCAGAGAAAGATCAGGCTGAGATGAAGGAGCTCCGTGAAAATGTTGAGCAACAAAGTAAAACCATCAAGAGATTTAACAGAGGTGAGTCCTAGAAAACACAGAGGTTCAAACCAACACTACAACCTGTCCAGGCTTCAGCTCTGAAACATACCAGCTATGTTTTTATTTGGCATGTTATTTTAACATGCAAAGTGTGCTAAGAATTAGGTTGAGTTTGAAACTGAATGTAATAATCCTGGTTGCTGAACATTGGTAGGACACAACTAACTTTCAGAATGTTAGCTCTTGTATCAGCATGCTAATATGTTCACTACTACTTGGTAACATGTTAAAAGTGCTAATTACAGGTCAAATTCAATCAACTCAACTCAAATGGGTGTGTTCTTTGCTTCGACTAACGCGCTCTGTCTCTGTAGTCTCCATGATGGCGGCTCAGGAGTACGAGGGGATGAAGGAGCAGCTCGACTTGGAGCAGAGCCTGAGAGTTAAAGCTGAGAATTACGCACATGAGGTAAAGAAATAGTCAAAGACAAAGTGTTGTCAAAGTAAAACTGACACATTAACACACAGTACAAGAGAAAAGTGTACAAATATACATCTAGTGTCTGCGTCTTAAAAAAAGATGAGTTTTAGTCAGGTGGGCGCAAATCTTACTTTTGTGAGGTCTACAGTTTTGTGGCAGCTAAAACAGTGACTTGCTTAGTATCTACTGTTTGTACTAAAACATCTAATGGGCTGTTGCAGCTTAGTTTGAAACCACAAACTGGGTGATTTGTGAATATTCGGTCCACATGTCACACCAGGAACAGAGGTTTTCATCACTGTTACAGTGAAAACAGCGGCACATTCTTTGTTCTGTCATCCTCACAGCACAGCTTCAACTAATCTTTTCACGTGATGAAGATGTAAAAATATTCAGTCCTATTAGAGGAACCTTGAGTGACGCCCATTGATAAACAATGACCTGCATTGTTGTGCTGGTTATTGATGTGTTAATAACCTGGTGCTTGGTTAATGAAATGTCCTGAATCTGCTGTTTACTGCCCTGAAAAGTGAAGGACCTGCAGGATTACAACAGACTGAGTGTGATGTACAAACTGAGATGATTATTTAAAAATGGACAAGATGGAGAGTTTCTTTTTCATCATCCATCTTTCTCCTCCCTTCTCTCGTCTCTTTCTGCGTTCCTCTCTTTCTCATCCCTTTTGTTTTGGCCTTCTTCTTTTCCTCCGTTCCAATACTTCCTTTCCTCCCACGTCATGTCCTGCAGATGCTGGTGAAGCAGAAGGAGGCCAACAGGCAGAGTATGCTGCTGCTGCAGAGTGCTGAGCCCAGTGTTCAGCTGCTGAAAGCTCTGGAGGATGTCGCTACCATCACCAAAGCCCTGGAGGAGGAGCGTCTGCAGCATCAGCAGAAGGTAAACCCTGAAAACGCAGCTTCAGTTTATTGTCAGGACGGCGCTCGTCCTGGCAGAGCTGACATAACGCCTGCCATCAAATGCCAGTTTGATCGGCAGGATGTTCAGGTCACTGGAGTCATCATTAGTGTTTTTAGCAGGCTAGAGGTGCTCTAAAAGGTTTTTGTTCAGTGGTCCCTCTCCCTTACATATCTCTCTCTCCTATCTGTGTTTTGGTCTCTGGCTCTTTAGCTGCTAAATGTTCACCTGCTAGTGCCTGTGTCTGTCTGCTGGATGTATTTATTAGTATTCTTAAAAAATAAAAACTAGATGGTGACCACACTTGAATCACATGCTGACCCCACCCAGGAGTTTCTGTTCAGCCCATAGACTTTACATTGAGATGATGGTTTTTGTTCATTGCAGCTGGTAGGCTCAGTATCCAGCTTCGTGGTCTTGCTGTTTGCTGCTGAACAGGTAGTGGACAGTGTCTGTTTAGACACTGTTATCTGCAAATAACAAGTCAAAGGCATCTAACTGGCTGTTTTATTTTTTAGTGTTGAAGGTGTTTCTTCATTTGTCAGTACAGTTGTCTGATGGGTATTCCCTAGTATTTGAATCTTTTGTGGTCACAGAGTACATCGGGGTCACATATGACTCTTTAAGCTCTGACAGTAGTCATGAGTTCATCAAGACTATCACTGCAAGTCCAGCTTTTGTTTCATCTACACTGAAAATAAAGTCTGTTGATAGACTGTCTTTAGTTGTGAATCATACAGTACATCTGTGTGTGTGTGTAGGTGCAGAGCCTGGAGGCCCAGCTGGAGCAGAACTGTATGAAGAAGCAGCTGGAGGCGCTGCAGAGGCAGCTGGAGCTGCTGGAGCTGGAGAAGAAGGAGGTGGTGGGCAGACTGGAGCAAGCAGAGAAGAAGAACAAGGAGCTGGAGAACAGAGGTGGGTGGAGGTGGAGACACACATGTTAACATATGTATATACTCACTCGCACTTAAAGAGTGGAGACAGGAGAACTCAGGAGGGAGTTCATGGAGAACTGATAGTAGACAGCATAGCTAGAAAATACTTGTTTCTGATTGGCTGGCATGGGGAAAACTGAACACAGACATCAGTCAAAATTAATCCTGCAGTCTAAAATTTTAGAAGACTGCTAGAATATTTAAGTTTTGTAGCATCTGATGGAATGGTTCGGCCAAAAAATAATGTTCTATTCAGTGATTTGCATAAACTGAGTGAAGAAAATAGAAAATAGAAAATGTTAATGGTTTTGTAAAATATATTTGTAGAACAGCTGCTCAATAATTCAGGTTATTCTGTTATTCCTCCTCAAACTGCTACATTTTGACTGTAGTTAGATTACTTGCATGTGTATAATACAATAAAATCACCTTAATAATTTACAGAAACTGATCCTGGTACGTTCTCCTTCCTGTGTAGCCTTTTAACATCAGTAGCTGTTGTGTTTATTTCTCCACTGACGTTAATGCAAACCATTGACCCAGGTGCTCCAGGGAAACTTGCAGGGATGCAGAATGTTTCTCTGCATGCAAAACCTGATTTGTCTGATACTTTGAAATAGCTCACATGGACCATGAGCAGACTTCAACCAGAAACCATTCAAAAGTCCGGTGAAAACAAAAGTCTCCTTCATGATTATTTTGTGTTGCATGGTCTGCAAAGATAGGTGAAAGATTTCACCAGAGCTCCTACAGAAAAGCTGAGGAAAAATCATGAGGCAGTACAGCAAACAGTACCTGGGAACTCTGCGGTGCTAATCCTATTAGTGTACATAGTAGTAGTACTGTCAGTAATACTTTCCATTGTTTCACTTTCTCTCCACAGTCCACAAGCTCCAGGAGACCCAGAAAGAGATCATGGTGAACACCAGCATGGGGCCCCCTCCTCTTGAACCTGGTGTTGCACCGCCTCCTGCCCCTCTTCCGCAGCCACCTCCTCCTCCTCCTCCACCCCCACCACCTCCTCCTCCACCTCCCCCCTCAAGATGCAACCCCATTAGGTGAGGATGGGGACAACAAGGCAAACACATGTTCCAGATCTCACTACACATGTTTCTGTGGTTACTGTACATTCACTACTGAAGAACAAGCCTCAGTGACATCGTGCGCTACAAACAGCTGAAACCGATGTGCACCAGACTCTGCAGACAGTGGAGTGTAGCATCTAGCAGCTGCTGGAAAGAAGAGTCTGTTTTACTGGGCAAAAAAAGATAGACAGCATCTAAAAGCAGGACCAATAACAGGCTCACTGTATCATTTGTGTCAGCCTGTTGTAGGCTTGCAGAGGTCACGTCGGGCTCATTTATTTATAGAGCACTTTAACAAAGTGCAGCAGGGCATATCTGGAAAGGAATAACAAAGGAGAGAATAAAAGCAGCTGCTGGAACATGTTCAAGATTGAAATTACATGGAAGAAGTTTAACAGCATTCACCAGTCCAGTCGGTTGTAACAATTATTCACTCATCAGTGTCTGATCGATCAGAGCATCTCTGATGGTCAGTTGTTGTTTGTCCCTGTCTCTCTCAGCTCTCTCATAGCCATCATGAGGAAGTCTTCCAAAGGCTCTAAAGCCACAGTGAAGGCAGAGCAGCCTTCAGGTGAGTTCACTCACACCATATTTACAGACGGTACACATTTTCACTTGTGTGTGTGTGGTATTACATAAGGATATGTTCTATTATATTTCATCTCTGGGACCCATTAAAAGTCACATTATACTGTGAGGCAGTAAATTTGTGGAAATCTGGTAAAGTATTGAAGTACACCAGTGAAGCACACTATCAACTGGCATGAAGCAGGACATCGTGTGGGTTCTGCTTTATTACCTGATCATCAGGCCTGGTCTTAAAGAAGAGTCCTACACTGAGTTCTAGCTTTACGACTTTCCTTTTATAGCCGATACTGTGCTACATGGTGGATATTCCTTGATTAACTTGTGTTTAATCACTATGCTACACAAGCACAGAGAGGTGGAGGAACTTCAGATTCAGCATCTAATTTTTAATTATTTTAATCCAGTCGTGCATTTTACACTGTAAACCTTCAGCTTTCTTTCTCTCTGTGTCTCTAGTTGCTGAGGGCGTGGATGATGTGAAAGTGAAGGCAGTCAACGAGATGATGGAGAGGATCAAACATGGCGTCGTCCTTCGACCTGTCAAGAGTCAGGACAACAAGGTGAGGATGACTCAGGCAGACCCAGGTTGGAGAGGAAAGTTTTTAATCTATATTTTATGGTTCGGTATTATCTGATCATGAAACACATTTTCTGTTGGAAAGAATAAAATATAAAAAAAAAAACTTTGGACGGTTTCTTTTCCTCCTGTCCTCATTATTTTGACCCTACTTGCCACAGTGGCCTGGAGGCCTTGGGTCAGAGGTCACCGCTCCCCTGTCACCAAAGCGACTATCATACCCTTGTGAGCTTAGAATGGCTCACTTCAAAACAGAATGAAAACATGTCAAATGAAGAGGAACTGTGCTTCCTGCCCCTGTGACGATCAGGGCGTCTGAAAACAGCGTCAGGTCATTTGGCTCCTGCTTCCAGTCTGAGTGCACTCTGGCTGATTGCTCTCTTCTCTTTCCTCTCCATGTTTCTCCTTTGTGCTGCCACAGAGAATAACAGTAAAAGTGAGTATATTGACTTGTGCACCAATCTTGTGATGTGACACCACGGTCCCTTGTACTCAGCTGACATATATACGTACATACACACACGCATGCACGCTGCACACCCTGCTGTTTTAATCACTTAAACACAATTCACTTTAACACACATTTCAGATAACATCATGGGGGGCAGGGTTGCTGTTCCTCTCATTAGGAAAGCATACTAATTGGGAAGTCCTGCTTTCAGTCAGTTGGCAGGAGAACTGTGCTGCTGTGTCCTAGTCATGGCTGGAAATCAGAAAGTACTCCTTTGTAGATGCAAATGTGAAAAGCTCAAATTTGCAACTTTTCAGTGAATTTGGAATGCAGCAGTTGTTCTGTGCTCTAACTAAATAGTTTGTGTTTTCTTTTTCCAGCAGCCTCCAGCATGTGAGGAGAAACAGCAGGAGAGTGCCATGGACGAGCTGAAGGGCATCCTGGTAAATGTGCACTAAAAAGGGTTGTTGTTAGGTTGAAATTGATCAGATTGAAAGGCAAACAGTGATAAAGACCAGACAGAACATTTATTATTGTTGCTGAAGGTTTTTCTGTACTCCTTCAAAATCTTGAATTTTGAAAGGTATATGTCTATAATGTGTCTGCACAGTCACAGACCGGGGCTGTAATGGAGCTGCCATAAAAATGAAATGAAACAGACACATGGAGCGATTTTATGGATGCAATGCGTGAACACATTCTGGAGTTCAGTTCTTTAGTGAATAATAAAGTCCCTACAGTGATGGTTGTGTGTTCCTCCAGGAGACGGTGAAGAGGAGCCCCAGCCGAGGCTCTCAGGACTCGGGGCCGTCACCACCCGGGAAGAAGGACAGCGAGCTGGAGGTCATCCTGAGACGCAGACGCAACAAGGCAGGAGAAGCTGGCTCTGGAGGTAAACACACCTGACAGCAATCTTCCTCTGCTAAGTTACCAAAGAGCCTGGTAAAGTATGCACATCTTTTTCTTTTAAAATCAAATAAAGAATGTATTCTCCCCTTATTTTAATCTTTTGGTTTTACACAGTGGGCTCATTAAAACCTTAAATTTAGGTGATACTACAAATCTTCCTATATCATCAAATTTGAAGGCAGACTCGATGGTTTCTATCCGGTCCGCCTTAAAATTCTGGCCTCTGTTTAACAGTTGATTTCCTCCTGCACATCACCACTGGTCATGTTCATAGTGAGGGGCTAAATGTGCTGTGTAAAGGAAAGGGTTTACTGTAGGTTTGCTAGCAAAACTCATAACAGTGAGTTTTTCTTTTTTGCAGTCATGTTACATCAAAAACAGGAACACCAGAGACGCTCTGGAGGCTCCCGTGTCACTCTGACCTCTTCTCTCTCTCTCTCTCTCAGCTGTGAACAATTGGCTAAAGCCAGTAATTTGTCAGGCTTTTTTTTCTTTGTCCTCTCCAGATGAGCGGGAAGGCCAGATGAGCCATGTCTCCTCCTCCGACAGCCTGAACGGGAGGTGCATCAGCAATGACTCAGGCAAGGATCCAGAGAGACAGGAAGGGCTAAGCATCCCCTCTGACCCAGAGGGCCCCATGGTCGGCCTGGAGAGGCAGGGGTCAGGGCCAGGACCTGCCGTGGGCAGGAGGAAGAGCTCTGACACGGACAGAGTGCCGAGGGTAGGCTCGTGGACGGAGAGGAGGTCGTGCAGCTCTCTGTCTGGGAAGGGAGAGTCTCCCATCAGCAACGGCTGCAGGTGGAGCATCACTGAAAACATGACCTACCTGGGAGGGGCAGCAGGCTAAGCTAACTCATGTTAGGGGCTGCAAATAATGGTTCCTTTCATTAGCAGTCCATTTGTTTTCCAATGAATTTGTTGTTTACTCTGTAAAGATATTTAAATGATCCTTTATTTGTCAAGTTTGAACCACAGAATGTTTTTTACATAAATTGAAGAAATGATGATCAAGGAGAAATGATATTTTGCTCTGCTCCACAGTGTGGGGGAGGAGTGTGCCCAGTCAAACGGAGTGGACCATGCCGATGCCGCTGAGGACTCGCGTGCTGGCGTCTGTGCTGACTTGCTTGACGACAGTGCTGGCACTGAGTGCTAGACAGACTCTGAGGATCCTGGGTTTTGTCTTGACTGATCCATGCATATTCACTCAGATTAGAAGAGTTAGGGTGCGATCACACCTTGGCTTCTGGAAAAGCTTTTGTATTTCTGTTTTTCTGATTTTACACTAAACATTTAAAAACTAACAAGAGTGGACAAACATAGCTCATGACAGTTTTGGTCTTTGGGCTTTTTCATTACATGATGCATGTTAAAAAAAAATCTGAATATGAGTGCGGGTCCAGAGTGTAAGTGTCACTGTTCTCATGTATCAACTTGAACACGCTCGGTGTGAACGCATGCTAACACATGTAGCCACTGTAGAAGCCCTGCTCTCTTCTTGTTCACCAATAATTAAGAAACAGTCCCACTGTTCTTCTTGTCAGTCTGAACAAAGCACTAAGCCAAGTTCATGAAACTGCTTGTAAAAATTTAAACAAGGGGTTTTCTGTAACAAAAAAACGTGCTTCATGAATTATAATGTGCCCAAATCATGGATGATGTGTCTTCAAAAACTGAAGGTAAAACTGTGATAGGTCAATTTCACAAATGTGGTTAGAAAAATATTATCAGTAAGTTCAGCTCCACAGAACTACATTTATATGTTGTACTTTTTTAATGGTTGCTTTTCCACTAGTTTGATTTATTCAAACCTCTAAAGTTTCATCGTGAAATGATTCGGCTCACAGTCGCACCAGCTGTGGAGCCCGTTTTCCTTCAGGTTTCAGATTTTTGCCTCCACTCCAGTGACCAGACAATTCTATTTCATTAAACATGTAGATATTTAAAACAGAGTGAGTGTTGATCAGAAAACAGCCATGAAAATACACGCCCACTTAAATATTGACTAAAAGTACAAGCAGTCAAACAGAAAGTGGGACTGTCAGTGTTACATTTCAGCTGCTTATTCTTACAACTTAATGCAGTTGCCCGTGATAAACACCAGCAGTTCTTGTGAAAAAACACATCAGTGTGAGCAGCGACCACAGTGACAGTGCAGTTAGTGCGGGGCTTTCTACAATGGCTGATAGTAATGCGGTGGCGAAGGCGTTTATTAATCTGCTACATCACTTCTTGCCTGGTTTCTAATACAAACCTGTGGATCCTTGAGAACAGACTGAATTGTGTGAGGGAAGCTGCACTTTTTGCACAGAACCTCAGTTTTCCTCAAACACTTTGACTTGTACAATGAATGCAAAACTTTAGGCTGATGTTTTTTTTCTGTCTGATGCACAAAGGATCTGTTCAGTGTCACTTTGTGTCATCAGAAGGAATGCACTGTTCTGTACTGTTATCCAGCCCTGCAACTTCTTCTGCTTCTCCTCCACCTGTTCGTTTCTCCCGGCTGCACAGTTGGTTCTAACCAGACTTCAGTCAGCTTCATTAGCTGAAACACAGTTTACTTTGTTATACACTGCAGTAAAACGACAGATTGAATCTAGATATTGTGCTGTAGCTTTCGATCACTGATGCAGATATTCTTCATTTGGGCTGGGACAAATTTAAATTGAATATTTAAAAGTGAAAAAATTGGCACAACATCAACACAATCATTAGAAATACAGTGCCTTGCGAAAGTATTCGGCCCCCTTGAACTTTGCGACCTTTTGCCACATTTCAGGCTTCAAACATAAAGATATAAAACTGTAATTTTTTGTGAAGAATCAACAACAAGTGGGACACAATCATGAAGTGGAACGAAATTTATTGGATATGTCAAACTTTTTTAACAAATAAAAAAACTGAAAAATTGGGCGTGCAAAATTATTCAGCCCCCTTAAGTTAATACTTTGTAGCGCCACCTTTTGCTGCGATTACAGCTGTAAGTCACTTGGGGTATGTCTCTATCAGTTTTGCACATCGAGAGACGGAAATTTTTGCCCATTCCTCCTTGCAAAACAGCTCGAGCTCAGTGAGGTTGGATAGAGAGCGTTTGTGAACAGCAGTTTTCAGTTCTTTCCACAGATTCTCGATTGGATTCAGGTCTGGACTTTGACTTGGCCATTCTAACACCTGGATATGTTTATTTGTGAACCATTCCATTGTAGATTTTGCTTTATGTTTTGAATCATTGTCTTGTTGGAAGACAAATCTCCGTCCCAGTCTCAGGTCTTTTGCAGACTCCATCAGGTTTCCTTCCAGAATAGTCCTGTATTTGGCTCCATCCATCTTCCCATCAATTTTAACCACCTTCCCTGTCCCTGCTGAATGAAACCAAAATCGAACTTTTTGGCAACAATGCAAAACGTTATGTTTGGCGTAAAAGCAACACAGCTCATCACCCTGAACACACCATCCCCATTGTCAAACATGGTGGTGGCAGCATCGTGGTTTGGGCCTGCTTTTCTTCAGCAGGGGCAGGGAAGATGGTTAAAATTGATGGGAAGATGGATGGAGCCAAATACAGGACCATTCTGGAAGGAAACCTGATGGAGTCTGCAAAAGACCTGAGACTGGGACGGAGATTTGTCTTCCAACAAGACAATGATCCAAAACATAAAGCAAAATCTACAATGGAATGGTTCACAAATAAACATATCCAGGTGTTAGAATGGCCAAGTCAAAGTCCAGACCTGAATCCAATTGAGAATCTGTGGAAAGAACTGAAAACTGCTGTTCACAAATGCTCTCCATCCAACCTCACTGAGCTTGAGCTGTTTTGCAAGGAGGAATGGGCAAAAATTTCCGTCTCTCGATGTGCAAAACTGATAGAGACATACCCCAAGCGACTTACAGCTGTAATCGGAGCAAAAGGTGGCGCTACAAAGTATTAACTTAAGGGGGCTGAATAATTTTGCACGGCCAATTTTTCAGTTTTTTATTTGTTAAAAAAGTTTGACATATCCAATAAATTTCGTTCCACTTCATGATTGTGTCCCACTTGTTGTTGATTCTTCACAACAAATTACAGTTTTATATCTTTATGTTTGAAGCCTGAAATGTGGCAAAAGGTCGCAAAGTTCAAGGGGGCCGAATACTTTCGCAAGGCACTGTATGTGATCAATAATCATTGATATATTAGCAAAAAGTCCCAGCCCTAAATGGGTTGAGAGATATTTTTCTCAACTGTGTTTTCCAAGGTTTCGAGGTCTTATCATGAGCAATGTCCTAACTGTGCAGCCTGACTGTAGTATCCAGGTATTCAGAGTATCTGACTGATGAACTTCCTGTTTAATCCAAACTCTTCCAGAGAGGCTAAATGAAGACAGGCTGAGTTAAAACACCCAGGAACATTTTTTTTACAACCAGGGCTTAGAAAGTGGAAAGGTACATTTCCTATCTTCCACTTTTGCTGCTGCGGCTCCTGTCCAGGTTTCAGCGTGTCAACTATCAGCGTGTCATAAGACTTTGAGGTGGAAATCAGAAAAATGTGACTGATAATTCAGGTTTTAGAGGAAGAGAACAAGAGGTTTTCCCAATAACCGCCAAGACGGTAGGGTAACAGAAGTGTTCTCAGGGTCTGTTGGGCAAAATGTCACAATCTCACGCTGGCGGCCTTGACAAGAAAGCAGAGCGCCATTATGTGACATGAGCAAAGGGTTAGAACAGCTTTGGGTGAATGAGGTGCTTGTGTACTTTGTCTACCTCTCCACAGATGTCTGCCTCTAAACCTTGACACCCTTAATAACTTATTGTGGTATGAAAACCCATGAGACACCTTGTACTCCGTCCACACATCCTCCTCCACTGAGTCCAGAGTCCTGTATGCACACGTTCTGAGATGACCACACTGTTTCTGAGCTCGGTCAACATGCACCATCACATTTCACCATGCATTCCTTGACCTTTGTTTTCTGGGTCCTGCTGTCTAGACATAGCTTTCCTGACATCTGCTGCAACAATTCTGATGAGTATGCAATTATACAGGCACAGTTATGATGCTTTCACACCTTGTCATTGTTTCTTAAAACACAATTACATTTAAAAGTGCATCTTGTTGTGTCCTTTAGGTGTTTTTTATTCTAATGCAAAGCACCAGATGTTAGAGAGTTAATGAGCTGTTGGGCTACATACAGTCATCCATTAGAGCCGTTCAGCTGCACAGGCCTGACTGTTGTGCAGATTGAGGTGTTGCACAGGCCTTCAGACAGCTGTGGTGTGGGCCTGCAGCTTTGGTATGTTTTGAGTCCTTGTACTGATTGAATAGTTGTTAAATGAGTAGCCATTTAACTAAAGGATTTACTGTATCTGACAGAGTTTGAGTGACTATAGATATTGTGTGTGTTTGGAAAATAAATTGAGAGTTCAAAGTTTTTTTTTAAACATGGATTTTCATGTTATAATCACCTTGAAATAAACTGCAGTTCTAACAGAAACAATCATTGTTTGTCTTAGTAAAAAAAAAAAAAAAAAAAGCTGAAAGATGTTTGGCCACTTGGGACCTGTAAATACAACGCTGACACATCATCCTGTCAAAGTGACACTTTATCATCCTGTTGAAGTTTCTGTCTAATATTCACCTTTAGCTATTAAATGTGTCACTTTGTTCACCAGCTAGTCTCCTGACTGCCACAGGCAGCTATATAGTTTTAAAGATTGTGTTTTGCTCAAAACAGCTGTTGCTACACTAAACAATGAATGATGGATGTGGTGAATCAAAACAAAGTTGCAGGTTGTACAACAATTAAATCTGAATGTAGCATCCTAAGTTCCTACTAGCTAGGTTCAAACCAGGGATTCACTTAATTGGGTTGCACTAGTTAAACATAAGCAGTGTCTCAACTAAAGACCTTAGTAATGTATAAATTAGGTTTATTATGTTTATTACAGTTTCAGAAGCCCAGAACAATAGAGATGTATTATGAGGAGAAGGCAAACAAAGAGGCAATGATCCAAAATAGTAATATCCTTATGGGAAATTAATGAGTTTCAGGACAAGCACAGGATGACAGTTCTTTAATTCAACTATCCTTGAATAAAATTTATAATGATATTTTAGAAAATGGTTATGGGAGAAAGAAATACTCTATTCTATTCAAAATAACAGAATCATGTCAAGAAATCTGGAATAATGGTAGCAAAGGCAGCAGCAAATTAAGAAAGAAAGGTGCTATTTTTTCCTGACTAAGACTGGAACATACAGGACTCAATGCCTTCTTACCATTGAAAAAAGAAGGTCAGATAAATGTAAGATAACAGTAGAATATATAGCTATTGATCAGCTGAAGGAAGTGAGGCGTGAAGGGCCTGTTAGAGATAGGGGACAGAAAATCACGGGTACAAAAGGCTGTTTATAAATATATAAAGTATTTAAACCATATATAAAGCTGCTTAAAAACCTCAGTGGAGTAGTGGTGTTCCACAGTAGCACACTAGGTGGCGACATGCACTTTCAACCTGGTTGGTAGCCCGCCTTTAAACTATAAATGAAGAAGAAGAGGTTTCAATATGGCGTCACAGTATTATCAAGAAATGCAGGAGAGCTTCAAAAATAACAACAAAAGTCGGGAGTTTCCAGCTCATACAGCAAAGGTTCATTCGGTTGCGTGGAGTTGTGATGGCAGGAGACTCGCCTCCGGTTCTTTTGACAAAACAGCGAGTGTTTTTATCCTCGAAAAGGACCGTATGGTGGGTCGCTGTGCTGTGTTCAGTTAGCATGCTAGCGTTAGCCTCGCCTCGATGAATGAATAGATGTGCGGAGTTATGTAGCTGTATTATGCAGTTAATTATTGTAAAAAATATATATATTTACCACTTGTGATATCTAATATTGTTCAGATGATAATACCACTGGCTTTACAGTAATTCACTAGTTTGGTAGTTTAGCGTTACATAAATGCTTTTCTTACTCTGCTGCTTGTTTATGCGGTTTTATGTTAGACTCGAGGCATCATTTGGTTTGTAGGGGTTTAGACAACGAACCAGGCCTGGGGGATACCTGTTAAATTTGATGCTGTCTGTCTGGCCCCAGGTGAAGGAGAACAACTACAGAGGTCATGGCGACAGCGTCGATCAGCTTTGCTGGCATCCAGCCAACCCAGATTTGTTTGTCACAGCATCTGGAGACAAGACCATTCGTATATGGGACGTCCGAACCACCAAATGCATAGCTACTGTCAACACGAAAGGTGGGACTTTCATTTATATGGTGGCTGGAATTTGATTCACAAGGCCTTTGTCCATTTTCTGTTTCCCTCTCTTCAGATGGGATGGTGCTGCACAGAGCGCAGTGACATGCAGGTTCTGATTACCATGAAAGCACATGTGTAAATGAAAGCTGTTTGTGAGAGCCTGTGTGGGCGTTATGTCTCCAAACATGCAGGCAGAAGCTTAACAACAGGACTTCAGATAGTTGATTTCACAGCAAGCTTCCTCAGCTCCACCTCCTATGACTGACAGGACTGTCAGACTCTCCACTTCCTCCCTTGTTCTGTTTTGCTCTGTCTTTACAAAAATGACAAGCAAACTTATATACTGCAAAACCCAAAATGAATGAAATATTTTTATTATTGTCTGAAGGAGGTAGAGTTAAAAATGTAGTAACATATTTCTGTAAGCATTATAAAAATCAGTTAAATTATTGTTCTTGGCAGAGATTAAAAAAAAAATGTGTTTTTAGGAGAGAACATCAACATCTGCTGGAGCCCTGATGGTCAAACTATTGCTGTTGGGAACAAAGATGATGTGGTGACCTTCATTGATGCCAAGACTCATCGCCCCAAAGCAGAAGAGCAGTTCAAGTTTGAGGTGAATGAAATCTCGTGGAACAATGACAACGACATGTTCTTCCTCACAAATGGCAACGGCTGCATCAATATTCTGAGGTAGGAACCAAACGGAGCCAGATAGCTTCCTTATTTGTGCTTTTCTTCAACTGGTATGCATTCCTGAAAAGCTGTCCCAAGTATTGTGCTATCAGTTTTCCCACACTGACACCAACCAGTTGCAGAGTGAAGCCACTAGGATGAGCATGTGAAGCTAGATACTGGTAGTTGTTTGTCCCACAGGAAAAAATCATAGCTTTTCAGATTTGCACAGCAGGTTGACAGTGG